TTTTTTTTTTGTCTTCTTTCTATTCCTCTTATTTGTCAGTTCAGTGTCTCACTATTTTAAAATAGCTGCTCCTTTTCTTTTGAATATTTTTCTGTATTGCTATATAAATTCATGTGGACCATATAAAAGTTCTGATTCTTCTTTTTTGAAATTTCATTGTATTATTTGGATTTGATTTTCATGTCTTTTGTGACAAGTGATTTCTGCTATTTTTTGAAGTTCTAATGTGTTACTGTTACCTGGTTAGGGTGTTGTTTGGTTTTCAGTGATGGGTAGCGAAAACAAGGGCAGTGGGTTTAAAAAAACTATTCTTATAACAGGCTCTACGGACGGTATTGGTAAGCAAACAGCGTTAGAACTCGCAGCTCATCAGGTTCGGTTTTGCTTATGGAATGAAATGAGTCCCATGAAAATCGGTTTGCTAGAAGCTATATGATCATCTAGGAAATTGGTACTGCTAATTTTTGACTAGATGTGGTGCAATATTTAAGGTAGTTTTATCTGTATATTATATTTCAGGGGTGCTTTTCATTTAAATGTTTTGTTTTGTAGGGGATGTAAGTGTTTATGTTGTTGTATGTTGGTTTATTTCTTAGACTTTTTTCTGTTTTTTAAGAGATGATTTTATTGTAGAGTTTAATAGAAGTTGCTTTTTAAAATTTTTTAATGGCATTATCTGCTTGTTAAATTTCTTATAGAATTCTGACATTATTAGTCTTTTAGAACAGTTGCAGATGTTTATTAAACTACAATTTTACTGCGCTGTAATTTTTATATTGCAGCAGAGCCATTTGTTTTTCTAAAAATTACCTCATTATTTGAAATAGGATTTTAGTTTTTAGTTTTTTATTTTTAGAAAGAAAATTTTGTTATTGTACATGGAAGAAGTAAGGAGAAATGCGAAGCAACGGTTAATTATATTGTTCAAGAAAATAAACTTCCAGATAAATCGAATGTAGACTACATAGTGGCAGATTTTTCTGATTTGAAGGAAGTAAGTGACTTTGGATGTTTAATTTACTTTATCTTGCTTGTTTAACAGCATTTTTCTAAAATGACACTTTCTTTTGCACGTTTTGTACGTTTTTCGCTAAATTTCAGTTGTTAGTTGTGGATTTTAGGTTGTGCGAATGACCGAAGAAGTTGTGAAGCGTTTCCCTTCCCTTAACGTCCTTTTATGTAATGCCGGAGTACTCGAACCGAGAAGAGTGGAGAGTCGTAATGGACTAGAATTAACCTTTCAGGTCAGGATTTATGAGCAGTTGCAAAGTTGATTGTTCTTTAGTGTTTGAAGCGTGTCGTTTTAAATATATGATCACCTGCAGCAATTAGAGCTTAAGTTTGCATATGCAGCTGCGACGTGGTTGCCTTGCTTATAGCACCCTTTTTTTTTGAAGCAGATATGATCACATGGCTCACCATTTTTTTATCTTGGAATGTATTCTATTAATTAAGATTTATTCTGCAAACTAGTTCGGTTTTTTCATAACCTTACTTTCAACAGATTTTGGCAATTAAGAATAATGTTCAAATTCTCAATTCATTTGTTCTTTAGTTTTCTTACTTTTAACATCTTGAAATTTTGAAAAAAATCCTTTAGATAGTTTAATCCAGCGAAAACAAAAATGGAGAAATATGGTTTATTCCATCTAGGTCGGATCTGATTTTGAACTAGATGAAAAAACTAATTTGTGTCTTTATGTGGAAATTTACAGTTTTGTCGGTTGCTTCTCGAGTTCTGTAAAAGTTACTTAATAACATTAGGAAAACGAAGGCTATGTTTGATGGCTTTCTAAATAAATTTTTGCTTTTTTCTTTTTATTTATTTTCTGACCGTTCTCCTCTCGTTTTTGGGAACCTTGTTTTTTGAATGCACTCACATCTTTGAACCTTCGGTATGTCTGAACTGAAAAGTTTTTATATTTTTCAAATGGTTGAATCAGTTGTATGCTTTTTATTTGAGTGGCGAGCGATCTGAAGCGAAGCTGTAACTCCTTTAGACAGCTGTTGGCTAGCATTTAAGTCTGTACAATTACCTCATTTTTCACCTACTGCAACTGCATGTGCACATGTGATGTTGAGAAAAAATTTAGACCTGTTAGATGACGTTGGGTCTTCTATTACCGTGGCTCCAATAAATTTGACCAAGGCTAGAGAACCTTATTTTCTTTGTGCATGATGGACAGATTCAGTGTGTGGTCACAGGCTTTTTAAATTCAGTTTCTGAAATTTTTGTCAGCACTGTTGTTGTTTACAGTGTTTTACTTATTTTAGATTCTACCTCTTTTGGTTTTCTAGCTTCTTCATAATATTATGCGGCTGAAAAATATTCGCTTTTGAACTTTTCTCATGGCTGTTTGTGTAGAAGTCTTACTTATAATGGCAGTGTATTCTCCATTGCCCCTATTTTTCTGGTATTAGATTTTCTAGTTAAACTCATTGCAGAGAGTGATCTCGTTTAATTGCCTTGTCATTTTTCCTTTATGTGGTTAACTGAAAATCCTAGCAATGTTCACTGAGTTGAAAGTGATGAAAGTAGGGAAATCCGTCATTGCAAATTATTCATACTTCGGTATATAGGTGTTCAACTTTGAACTGAGGTACTATCATGTTGTTCTGCTACTACGATGCGTGAAGCTTTTATATAGGTGATCTTGAAATTACTATCTTTAAGATACTCTTTAAGCTGGCAATCTAATGTTAAATTTCTCAGGTGATCAAGAAGTAGAATCAAGTAAGTAAGGTAGAGTAAATGGAGACTTTTAAGGTATATAAAGGGTTTTCTTCTAGCGCATGGAATGTCAGTTAAATCTGCAACGAAACGGGGCTATGGAAATTTCCGTATTAAGTAAAGGGATTTCTTAGGGGAGTTAGGTTCTGCTAGTTAAGAGATTCTATGTTCATATTTTCAGGTAAATTACCTCGCCCACTTCATTTTGATCACGCGTCTCTTGAAATTATTGGAAGTAAACGAACCCTCAAGAATAATCACTGTTAGTAGCGCGTTACATAGTTGGTAAAATTTTCAAATTGAATGAATCGATATTGTGGCATGTTAGTTCCTTTTACGGTGTAAAAATAGGGTTTAATCGTCCGTAATGCAAAATAAGCCTAATTTAGTTGACTGGTGATAACATTTTGACCATAATGCGAATTTTAAGCCTTTGATTGGGAAGGGAAAAGCCATTGTAGTTATTAATGGTGTGAAGCTGTAGGCTACTTATTCCCTTGAGGTGCAAATTTATATGCAGCAGATGTCATCATTTTTTTGCTTTTATTCTTGGTTTATGAATACTTAAGTGTTTAAAAACTTTCTTAATTATTGGTTGTTTTGAGTTTTTTATATTTTCTTATCAGCTTAAATCTACTTCTCCATAAATTAGTTCTAAGTGTTCAGGCAAAAAATTGACTGGGATGATGTTATGGCGGAGAAGGAATACGACAAGTACTTACAGTACTCGAGATGTAAATTAATGAACCATATGATGGCACTATTTGTGCACAAACTGTTTGCAAAACGTGGTTGCCAAATTAGAGTCACATCGAACGTTATTGAGTTAGGCGAAACCCAGTCTGTTTCTCCTTCCGCTAGGTACAATTACTGTTTAAATTAGTCATTCAGCCTGCTGTGGTAATTAGATGTTGAACAGTGTTGACAGTAAGTCGACAGCTGATAGGGTTTTTACTGCTGCAGCATTAAAAAAAAGTAGCATTTAGAAAAAAATAATCAAAAAACAAATTGTCATTTTTTGACGTTTTTATTTTGAGGAATTTAAAATTTTTTTGTTTAGATTGTCAGTTAATGCACTATCTACAAATCAAAACCTTTATCTTATTCCTAAAGCTGTTGCATCTTTGTTGGAATTAGTTGAATCTCCTGCATTGACCGCTGTGAGCGGGAAATATTTCAACTCTAAAGGAAGGCAAATACGAAGTGGAGCAGACGCTACTGATGAAAGACTACAAAAAAAGTTATGGGAATTTAGTGAAAGTGTTTGTGATGTATACTTACGGGACTGTTGAAAATGCAGTTTTGAATTTGTGTACAAGCTTTTGTTTTCTGTCGTTTGCCTCTTCAATTTTCAAATTGATATTAAACAATTCACTGATGAAAGCACGGCAAGTTGTTGTAAGATAATAGGGAAGTTGTGGATTTTTCTTTATTTCACGAGTTAGCTGTCACATGACTTTCATTTTTCAACTTATGTACGTCAGTGTCTTTAGTCATTGTTTCTCAGGACTGCTGCAGACGG